ACACCCTGCTAGCCCCAGCTGCCAAAATGAAACATCTGGAAGGGAAAAGGATGATCCAGAGAGCTCTGCTCCCTAATGTGGCTGGGACAGGGACACACTGGATGGCCTGGCAATGTTTCCCAACGTGTGTCTTGAGGATCACTACTCTGAAAAATATACCCCCAAAAAGTCCAATTTCATGGCCAAATAAATTTGAGAAAGAATATAGTCTGAACTTTCCTCTAAGTGTTTCATAAATCACACTGGCATTTGAAGGGTTATGAAAAGTCCTGCAACAAAGAACTGTAAGTTTTTTTTTTTTTAACTCAGCAAGACCCAATTTTTTTTAACTATGGCTCTCCCTTCCAGGAACACTTTTTAATGTTGAAACTTAGCTTAGAAAATACCTGCAATTACTCTACATTTGACCACTATGTAGCTTCACATACAGATAAGACAATTCTTGATTCCTCTATCAAAGAATAATAGTTCAACAAAGGTTTAGTGTAGGAATTAAACTAGAAATGGGATGTTCAGATTTTCTGATAACCAAACTGTCATGTATACATTTTACCTTAATATAAGAAAACATATTACTGAAATTACATCATTTCACTTAATATTGAAAACCAAAGAGCAAAACCTATATTTATATCCAAATTATAATGGGTTCATAGCAGTGTACTCTTAGTAAAAATATTTGCATTATGGACCCACTACCCAATTATATTTGCCTTTTTATGTGCAAAGTGAAATAGAGAACAAAGTAACTACCAAACATATTTAGTCAACTTTTCTTTCTACAACTATATAATGGTGCTTGTTAATTTCAAACTATCTAGATTTGAAAGTGGGAGCCAAAGTCATCAGAAAAGTTGTTGTAATTCTCCACTTAACTGTTTAACTATTTTCATTAATGAATTAGACCTCAAATAAATTTGATCATCTTTGAAACCAGTAAAGAAAGATACATTGTTATCTGTATAATGTATATCTGGCTACTCAATTTCCTATGGAAAATAGATTTGCCTACTAGATACTCTGGGTACATATATTAAAGTTACCTAAAAATCAATTTGCCCAAACATAAAGTATATCTAAAAAAATAATAAAAGTCACAGATTTCCTTTCTAACTTCAAGCATCGCCAGTGATTTCATTAAATTCTGTTGACACTTGTAAAAAGAAAAATTTGATTTCATGACTACTGGGTTAATGAGGAAATCAAAGAAGAAATTGAAAAATACCTGGAGATGAATGAAAATGAAGGCAAAACCTACAGAACCTCTGTGATGCAATAAAAGCAGTTCTAAGAGGGCATTACATAACAATACAAACCCACATCAAGAAATAAAATGTGCTCAAATAAGTTACCTAACTATACCTTAAAGAACTAGAAACAGAGCTAAGAGTATAAAATGGAGAAAGGGAAAATCTCTTCAACAAATGATGGGAAAACTGGACAGCCACATGCATAAAAATGACATTAATCACTCTTTCTATTCTATACTATAAGATACTATACATACCATACCAAAAAATAAACAACTCAAAATGTATTAAAGATGAATATAATACCAGAATCAATTAAATATACAGAAGAAAACATAGGCAAAACACTTCACAACACTGGCCTCTGGAACCACTTTGGGGACACAACCACAAAAGCAAGGAAAATAAAAGCAAAATAAAACAAATGGGACTACATCAAAGTAAAAAATTTGGGGAAGTGAAATTATTAGAAAACAAAAAGGCACATTATTGAATAGAAAAAAACTCATTTGTACATTATACAACCTACAAAAAACTAATGTCTAGATCTGCAAAGAACTCATACAACCCAATAAAAAGAGAACAAAGAGCCCAATCAAAACAATGGGTAGAGAAGCTAAATAAACACTTCTCAAAAAGGGCATACGATGTCCTACAGGAACATGAAAAAATAATAATCATCACTTCTCAGGGAAATGGCAATCAAAGTCACAATGAGATAC